AACTGCTAGTATATTTCGCATAGAATCACGATCTCTATCAACATTCGGTATAAATAACCCATACAGTGATGCCTATTTCAAGCTGAGGAAACTTTTCTTTAGAAAGTTTCATCATTTCCTCTCCTTGTTTTTCTACATTTTTTTTTTGAATTTTTACATGCAATACAAATATTTTCTTGACAATCATCAAAAAAATATTTAAAATTCAGAAATTTATCGTTAAATAATTAAAAAATATTTAAGTACCAAGTTCTGAATTTTTTTCTGCGATTTTGTCTTCTTTGGTTATTTTTTTAAATCTTCTGCAATGACCTCTTTATTTTATAATCAGATCAAAATTTCCCAAGTCATACGGTTATTAACGTTATTCACTAGAAAATAACGATAATTCCCACATTTGTAGGTAAATAATGTTAATAACCGGCGAATAACGTTAATTTCTGATATAACATAATTTATCGTAACATATACAATCTAACATACATATTTTTTTTCTAATTTTTATTTTTAAATTATTAACTCTTGAGATAATAATTAGAAGGAAGTAAACTAAATGTGTTATGGTCAATTACTTTTTGGTATGTTTTAATTTTTCATGGTTTTAAGGAATTTTTTGTCATATAATATAATATTTATTTATTGAACTATATTATATGAATTTAATGTATGTGCAATATTTTATTTCAGCTAACAGCTTGTTGTTGTCTTTTTCTTGCGGGTAAAGTAGAAGAAACGCCAAAGAAATGTAAAGATATTATAAAGTTGGCTAAAGCAATATTACCTGAGGACAAATATGAAACACTTGGAGTAGACCCCAAGGTTAATTTGTTATTTATTTAAATGAGTAAAATACTATTTTATTGGTTTAAATATTTAAACATTTTAGGAAGAAGTAATGGTACTAGAGCGTATATTGTTACAAACCATTAAATTCGATCTACAAGTTGATCATCCATATCAGTTTTTATTGAAATATGCCAAATGTTTAAAAGGTATGTAATATTTATTATTATATTTTTCATTTATAGTATTTATATTATTTTTATTTTTTTATTTAACAGGCGATAAAACTAAACTTACTAAAATGGTTCAAATGGCTTGGACATTTGTAAATGACAGGTAAAAACTATCTATTTGACTTCAGGGAGGGATTATCTATAGCAGTATTTCCCAACCTTTTTGTAATGGCGACCCATAAATTTTCTACTTCTCGGATATACGACCCACTCCCACTGACATTAAAAAAAAAAAAAATTGTATGGTACTGAATTGTTTGATAGAACTGGTTGACTGGTACTAACGGATGTGGTTTTACAAACAATAAATTTATCCATTAGAAAAATTAAAACTTAATATACATTATATAAAATTTGAGTATTTAAAAATGAGTGTTTAACCGTAAACTAAAACTTTTTGTTTATACCTACTCTCATAGTCTCTATGTACTGCTTATTGCTCAACTGTATGAAAAATTGACCAATACTACTTCGAAACTTTGACAGTCATTAGCACATATAGCGATAAGATGAAAATATAATACAAACTTTACTGAAGATATATTGATATCAACATTGTAAAATCTATAATACTAGCGAGACTTCACATTATTATTATATGTAAAGGTATCTAATAAAACATAAGTTTGGCATTTATAAATTTTCTGTTAAAATTATTTTCATGCATATTTTAATTATAGGTCGTGACTGGTGACCCATAAAAAATATTTTGCGACCCATAGATTGTGAAACACTGATCTATAGCATATATTTTTAATATAAAAATAGTTTGTAATTTGATTGTTAAACGATTTAATGATATTTATCATTGAGGTTCTATGTACAATATTTTCACCAAACAGTGAAAATGAAAATGACAGTCTATCCTTGATCTTAATCAGTTAATTAAATTTGTTTCTAAAGTAAGTATTATATATTACAGCTTATGTACTACACTTTGTCTTCAATGGGAACCAGAAATTATAGCAGTTTCATTAATATATCTAGCATGTAAACTGAGTAAATTTGAACTTAATGATTGGCAAGGTCGTACACCAAATCATTTACGTTGGTGGGATATGTTTGTTCAAGGAATGAATATGGATTTACTTGAAGGTTAGTTATATTATAATATTATATCACTAAAAATAAAAAAAAATATAAATAGTTTTATGAGAACTAAAAAGAAAATAGTAGAATTGTATGCACTATACATTTGTTAATTAGAATAATAATCATAGGTTGTTGTGATTTATTTGTGGTCATTTGTGCATTTAGTAAGAGTTTTTTTTTTTGAATGATTTAACATATTAGGTTAACATATTTTTCTTTAGTTTTGTTTGAATCATGCCTGAGTGGTCTTTGTTTAGTTCACTACTTGTTTAAATAATTTATGAATAATCCAACTTTTAGAAAAATAATATTGGAAGTATTACTTTTAAGTAGAATATGAAAAGAAATTATTCACCTTTATTTTTAGACTTGAACTATCACGTGTCAAGTATTATGGTGCATCTTTATTTATCTTGAAGGTAGTGGTTTTTATGAGATACATAAAATGTATTTATTGAAAATAATGTAAAAATTGTATAGGTTAACAATTTATAACCTATAGTCTTGAAACTAGTTTAAGGCATAAGCACAACATTTTAGTGACATTAACTGTTTTTTTTAAAGAGACTGCATTTTTAAAAGAATGATTAATAAAAGAGCAAAAAAATTAAACCTTGTTTTTATGAATAATATAATATATTAGTGAACTTATAATTTTATGTTTTTTAGATATTTGTCATCAAGTTCTAGATCTTTATTCAACTCCAGATAAGAATGCACCGCCATCACCTCCATGTCAAGACAAATTTATTGTTCCAAAGAAAGTTGTACCCCCACAATCCATTTATCAGAAACTATTGTTGCAAAAAATGGCTGCTAAATACAGTGAGTTTTTGTTTATGTAATATTATTATTATGTTGTTATAATGCTTTTAATGGAATATTTTAGATCTTTAGTGTTTGAGTGTTATTTGTATCATTGTTTTTATTGTAGTGCTTACACCTGAACAAGCGATGCAAGCAGCTATAACCAAAAATGTGAAATTAATAACTACATCAAATACTTCACCGGCCAAGCAATCATTACCCATGCCACCAGGAATTAAACCATCAATTTCTAATGTTCCACCAAAACCACAAAATGTTCAAAAACCATTTTTGCCACCACCGCCCACACCACCAAAATTATTATTACAACAGTCACCCATAAAAAGACCACCTCCACTTCCATCAACAAGACCACCGCTGCCTACAATGCCACCACCACCACCACCTCCATCACTTCCACCTCCTCCACCAGCACCAAATCAAATGTTAATGCCACAAGGTGTTACTACTCAATTACCACCACCACCCATGCAACCGCCACCACCAATACCACCTTCTGGTTTTCCTCCGATGTATCCTTATCCTCCACTTCAAAATGCAGCTCAATCGTACGCAAACTCTATGTTTTCTCAGCCTCCGAATATGATTTCTTCAGTACCTGGACAGTATCGTCCACACGAAACAATGGGTTCCATTCAGTTCATTGGTGAATCTGTTCCTCAGAGACAGCCTTATGGTGAAAATTACAATCAAAGAGAAAACATGACACAGCAACCACCACAGCCATTTAGTGAATTTGATATGCAAGATACGTACGAAGAAAACAGACAAAAATACAATGACAGCCGTGCATTTAATCGAGATGGTGCCTTTGTTGGTGGTAGCTATGGCAATGGATCTCAACATTTTGTAGATGGTGGTCCACATTACAGCAGTGAAAGTGGTCCACATTATGTTGACGGTGGTAGTCAACTTTATTCAGATCCAGCTTATCTACAGTTCAGGGCAAATGCACCAAATAAACGTGGTTTTAATACCAGAACTAATCGACCTCCACCTCCTCCACCTCAATATCAAAACAGACAAGTTCGACATCATCCATATCAAAGACGATAGTGTTGCTTTTTTATATATGTATATGTACAATTAAGGTAATTTAGCACTTAACATAGACAAATATTTTTAAGATTTCAGATGTATTCTGTAACGTATGTGTTTTGATTTTTGGAATATAGGTATATTATACCTAATGATATATCCATTTCCATTAACTTTTCTCTCACTTTTATAGGATACTTCTGTTTTAGTTAATGACTGAAATGTAAGGGACTTAATTCTACAATTATAAATTTTGTAAATAAGTTAAATTTACATACATTTTTAATACAGTTACAACTGGTGTTTTTAAAATGTTTGTATTCATTTATAATTTTTAAATATAAGTGTTAAATGGTTATTAATGGATGCATTTAGAGAAATGTTTTAAATTAAGTTCATTGGGGAAATCTTCCTGTATCAATGTTGTTACCTGTCTGAAAGTACCTTACGTACTACAGTTAGGTATTTGTGTGTATCAAAGAACATTTATATTTTACATAATTAATAATCATAATATGAACTATGAATGTGCTGTATTAGTATCATAATATTGAATACAGCTGAAAATAAATTGAATTGATGTTGTTTAGTGTGTTTCATTGAATTCTAAGTATTAGTTTTCTGGGTATGATAATAATTATGGATTGAACATTTTTAGGACTTATCAGAGTTGTGTGATGGTCGATTTTTTAACAAAACTTTTCAAATTATTTTGTAGCCATTTAGTGTTCGGGTACGCGCTTTTCAGTAATTGCATATTTTTTTATGTCCTATTCTATTTTAAATGTAAGTACTGGATCGTTAGAATTCAGACTTGCAAATCGGATGACAACTTGGGGTGAACTATAATTACCATCGTGCCCGATATCATGTGTATAATTTCGTTGAACGGTTTGGAGTTTTTTCCCCAAGGGCCAAGGTTTAGGGGACTTCCTTATGCAATATATGAAGTAATAAAATTATTAATGAACTTCCATTTTAGAAGGACAAGAATTATGATACACATTTTTTTTTCTTCATAATTTATAATAAAAAATTGCCAATAAGTATCAAAATAATATTTAGTGAACGCTTTATAATGAATCGAATGCTGCGAAAAGATCCGCTGTTTTCAAATATGTTGCCGTTAAGTTGGTCACACTTTCGAAACATGATTACTGATAATTGTGATAATATTGCCCGCTCACTGATGTCAGATTGAATGTAGTATTAATACTAATAATATTAATTTTGTAAATTTGTACTCTATACTCCAAATCTTCAATATTGAATATTCCTCTTTTGACTTTAGTAGTTTCATACATTTGTTGGTACTGTTGGTAGTCTCGTGTAATATTGTAGTTTAAAAAAAAAAAATTTTAAATGTCTGGTAGTGAGGTTACACCCGGCGGTGTGTTTTTGGTCTCGGTCGTCGGTCAGATCGAAAAAGGCCACTTTTCGAACTACGACAACATGTATTGCAAATATGCTTTTGTCTACGGACCTGATTGGGAAATCGTGACCGTAAGTTATCTACAAACGTTCCATTTCGGAGGCTAAAATTGTCGCCATAGTTTCTTATATTATCTTATTCGTGTGTTTTGCCATAAAAACAGGGGATCGAAGAAGGCATATCCCAAATCGCTCAAAAGAGCCAAGACGAAAGGCAACAGGTCGTATGGAATTTCCCATTAGACGTTTCTTTCAAGAGTACCAATCCTCACGGGTGTATGTGTTTCGATCAAGCTACTTCAAAATTTATTCTGTTTCTTTCTCTTTTATGGGCACCGTAAACCACACTCGACGTTTTAATGTGATTCACAACAGCACCCTGCAAACTGCACTGGATTAAAATCCAATTGTTTAGAATGTAACTGAAGGCATGAATGCAAACACCAATGTCACCGTCATTAACACATCTAGTATGATAGGCTTTTACTGTATAATATATTGAAATAGTTAACTCTAAAAGTGATAATTTATGTTTAAACGATCAATTTGAATATTTGACTATCATCAGTTATAAACTAAACACATAAAATATTTATTATGCGTATTTTACTTATTTGGATTTAACGATATTATGATTAACATATTTTTATTTGATTTTGAATTATGACTTACTTTCCCATTTTTTAGGGCCACAGCTAATCATTAGTGTTTATGGATTGGACACTTTTGGGAACGACGTTGTAAGAGGTTATGGAGTATGTCACCTCCCAGTAGTCAATGGACAATCTTCCGAAGAGTAAGTGTTTGATTTGTTACAAGTGGGCTTGACTGCCTAACAGTAAACTCTTCTTATACTGTCATCAAATTAGTATTATTTTAAAATTTCAAATAGACAATGGTTATCATAATTTACAGGATGATTATGTTTGTACCTGAATCTAGTTCGACGTTACAAAAACTGACTTCATGGTTGACCGGTAAAAGACCAGAATACGTCGACGCACGGTTATTAGCCAGGGGTGATGGCAGGGAAGGTATAAAATACATTTTGAGCTCTACAATTATCATGTTTTTACGAATTCATTTCTTTTATAATGATTTAAAGTTTAGATGTTTTATTTTTTATTAAATTATTCAAACTGAAACATTTTTGAACTAGTTGATATTTTTTATTTAGTGACTAGAGTCAGAAGTCAAGGATGTGTTTGGATTCAATTTAATGTTGTGTTCAAAGACTTTCATCATTATGGATTTGAGAACGATAATAACAGTTAAACATTTGTCATCAATGATGATCTGTGAATAAAAGTCCTTATCACTGAGAAGAAGTTCTACTAATTATTTAATTTTCCTTGTGGTATGTTCATATAGCCACTTTAGTTGGAACCTATGAAATAAATAATGTGACTAAGGATAAAATGATAGGTGATTATTGGAAACATAGATTTAAAAAAATAATATTATAAATTTCTGTGAATGAAGCAAAATTGTATTTAAATGCCATAAAAAATAAACTAAATCTTTGTATAGATTCTTTTTTAATATCACAAATCATAATATAAAGAAAAAAGGTGTGATCAATTATTTTTAATTTTTTTAGTTATTTTTTATATTCATTAGTTTACTAATATTTTTACAATGGTTAATTAACTCTACTATGAATTATAATGATATTTATAATTATACTTAATTAATAAAATTAATGACTTCAGGGACTTGCTTTCCTATTTTCATCAATTACACGCCAGTATATATAATAAAAATACTACTAAAATTTTAAAGACTACTTAATTTTATGCTTTATTTGTTTATTATATTATTTAATTTGTGTGCAATTAATTTTAAGTCATGTTATGCAATCACATTTGTATGTACAATATAATGCACTCATCCATTATCGAAATTAATAATGTTATAGTGATTTTTTTTTTTTAATGATTACATGTGTTTTGTTTCATAATTTATAATAAAAAATTGTTCACAAATCGTTAATAAGTACAAAAGTAATAATTTTGGTTGGTAATAGTTATTTTATGAGTTATAAAAATTAATCAATAATTTACCTTAATAATAATAATAATAATAATAATAATAAAAATAATAATATTAATAATAATTAAAGACTGCTGTATATAAAAATAATAAATAAATGTAGACAAAAAATTTTTTCTATTGATTTTGATGAATAATTCAAAGTTTGAAGCCTAGGAATTGTAATTCCTAACAATCTAAAATAGTAGTATTCCTTATTACTAAACTGTTTAATGTTTAGTGTTTTATAAATGCGGTTCGTATGACTTGACCTCGTAGTGTGCAGGTACTCATGTAGGTTTAAAGTAGCTAGTTAAATCTAATTTAATGGTTTGTTTTTATTGTTATTTAAAATTTAAAATAACCGCATCTATAAAATGTACAATTACATTATCATATTGACTTACTATTAAGTATGTATAATTAAAACATAAGGTGTTAAACTAGTTTAAAATATTAAGGAACAGGTAGTTTGGTATACAGTTGTGTATTGGAAAAATAATATATTGGTCCCCCAAAGAGGAATAATAATTGTACTTACAAGTAACCAAATTCAAGTATACAAACACTGTCAAAACAGTAGGTAATTACTGTTTCAGTTTTTTAGTTTAGAACTTGGTTTCCTTTAACAAAATGTACAAATAACTTATTTACATAAAAAAAAAGGGGAGGAATTGACTTGTTTTTTTCGTACTCTAAATTAAAAAAAAAAAAAAAAATTTATGTACAAACGGTTTTGTTAATGTTAATATTTTCTATTTTTTTTTTTTGTTTTTGGTAAATTTGACACGTTCCAGTAATTTAGACACAAAACACCCCAAATAAATATTATAATATTTAAGATCCCGCGTCGACCCATCCCTTATCCCACGTCATAATGCACATTCCGTTCCCCGAACTACTACCAACCCCCCTCCCATCCCAAATTTAAAAAATAATCAATCCCCAAAGGATTTAATTGGACTGCTGGGTGAGTAGGTTCAGCAGCTCTTCCTGGTCCATGTGTATAAGCGATTCCATGTCGATTCCCAGTTCGGATGACAGGTTTGGTATATTCACCCCGAACGACTGCAACAGCTCGATGAAGTCCACTTCTTCGCCTGTACACACAATGCAATTGCACAACGGCCGATTAGAATAATTAAAAATTTAACGAGTGTTAAGATGGAAGAATTTTGTTTTCTTGCATCGATATCAAAACACACAAATATCTTCTATCGATATAATTTGAATAGAGCACTATTGAGTTGAGTTGTATATTTGATTTAAATAAATCTGTTCTGATGGTTAAACAGCTGTATCATAACTAGGGATTTAGGGGACAAGTGTAGGTAAAATTTTATATGTCATAAATCATAATATAATTTAGTGTCGAAGTCTTGGGGAGGAGGCTCCTCTCATGAAACGAGAGGTTAAAAAAATAAATAGACCTAAGGTACTATTTTATTTTTATGGAATTGGATTATTTTTTGTGGTTAGGTTTAGGTTAGACAAAAATTATATTTTTAATCTTAAATAGGTACCTAGTGATAAATTTAGTTAAATTATCTTCAATAAACGGTCAAAACTAAGCATTCCATAGAACTAATTACCTACTATAGTGTTGAAAATTAACTCGTTCGACGTCTTTAGCCACGCGTTAAATTATGTCGTACTAAGTAAAAATGGATAATATTGAATATTAAAAAATCTATTGTTAATTTATTTAGATTTTGGTCTGAGTTTTCGTATTGTTGACGTTTTAAAAAAAAGTTAACAGTCTAGTTAAATTAAATTGCAGTAATATGGTTATAAGTTATAACTATTATATTCTATTATATTTTATATCAGATTATATTAATCTGACGATCTTACCCGTTGCCGGATTTTGAAGTTTTGGACACGAGTTGTTGCATTGCGGCCAAGTGCAGCTCTGAATGTGTTGATGTCTGCAGCTACCGTGATTTTTGTGGTGACGTCTGCGTTTCCTATGAACCATTGCTGCGTAGGTAAAACAAATTATAGTATTAGTATCGCGTAAATCGTCGTCGTTACATATCATGTGAATGTAGCGAGTAACTAAAAAAAAAAAAATTCGTATTTTGGGATAAACGAATTTAAACGTTTCACATGTTCACAACGTGGAAAATATTGTACCGACTTGCGTAAAAGCTTCTAGGTACCTACGTATCAATTATTCAATCACTATTCTTATTTCTCGTATATTGTACATTTGCAGTACCTATGCCAATTCTAGCATAAATAATATAATCCGGACCCATTTTGTTTGAGTATCACAATGCGATGATTACAAACTGTAAGTACCTACACCTCTCCCTCGCCTATTTCACCCGCTTAATTTCTATGATATAATATATTATCGAATTGAAAAACGAAATTTTTTGAGTATAACACAGGTAGGTACTTATAATCTATGTCATTATATATTTGCATAATATATATGTACCTCCAGATCGATGATCGTTGCGGTGAATTTTATTCTGTTTCCTCTTGGTAGCATTATCTGCTGCCGTCTGCCTATCGATTTTCGTCAGTCTCTTGTTATGGCCTCCCGTACCGCCGTTGCGGTTGCCGTTGCCGTTCGCACGGCCCGGTCTAGACTTGTTGCTGTAATTATTGTTGTTATTGTTGTTGTTGTTGTTGTTACCGTTTCCGTTAATCTTTGCGAATCTCGTCTCGATCTGCCAACAGTGCAACGCCGTGGGGAGGGACACCGAGTCGATCTTGATGTTCTTCCAATATTTCTTCGTAAGCACCGTATGCGAAACACATGATGGGGCGAACACCGACCTGTGTACACGAGCACAATAGTAAATACGTATTTATATATATTATAGGTACATAAAAAGTGCATAATATTGTTATGTATATGAGAGTCTATAGGCGTGCGCAGCCTCCGGTTACAGGGGCAGCAAGAGATTAATTCGGCCTTTTCTTTAAATTCATCATTAAAACCGGCCTATAGTCTTATTTTTTTTCTATTGGGTATCAATATTAAAATTGATTGTTTATTTGTTTTTTTGAATAAAAATTTGTACAATTAAGTACTACAGATGTACTTTTCCGCAAGCGTTATGGCGTATTGGCGTACGATGCACAAAATGATAACGTTAAAAACGCAGTTTTTGTATAGATTTGTTGATTATAAATGATAATAATATTTACGTTTTTAAATTATGACTATATATTTTTTTTTTTTTTTTATTGTAAATAGATCTATTAGTTTTATAATGGTAAATTCTATAATTATTAAATATTTAACTATACTTTACCAAAAAACAAAAAAATTATAATTTTTTTTATCTACAATGGTTATTATTTGTGGAAATATAATGTTACTGAGGCCCATTATTCAATATTTTCCGGCCTCTCTTGCCCCCGTGCGCACGCCTATGTATGAAACGTGCAGTCCAGAAGATTGCAAGCAGGTCCACAAGTCACAACGACATTGACGACACACGTGGAAGTTCAGCGTGTATCGATTTGACCTTGATGTCTCGTCTGTGCGACGTGTATGCGCTTGCTGCTCCGGATAGGTAAGAGCGTAAATTAAATTTACTGCACATCATGGCATATCGTATATACTTAATCTATGGTATAAGTATGTATGCGTAGATATAGAGGGCACTTACGTGACGTTTAGTAATGATTTTCGCAGCCCTTCGCCCATCTTGTGTATGTAGTCCCATTGCTGTTTGGTGACCGGTGTGCCGACGTCGTTTTTCAGCTGGAACTCGTCGTACAGCCATTGAAACACGAACAACGGGACTGCAACAACGCACCAAACGATTTTTCGTTGATTATTTTAGTTATTCCATAATTATTAATTTATAACGATTATTAACCATTAAGTATACGAGCATTCTGTAAACTTGTACCATCATAGATCTGATTAAATGTTTGGATTAAAAGAATTAACGGTAAAGTGATCCAAAAAAATACTAAAATGTTTAGCTACATTATGAAGGACCAAGTATAATGGCTTATAAATGTAACTCGAATAAAATGTTGTTGCATTTAAGGTTCACGGAAATACTTTAAAAAAATAAGTGTAAGTGTCTCGTCGCGAAGGTTAATAGTTTTGTGTAATAGTATAAATATGTACATTATACGTAAAATTATACAATCTCGCGTTCAAATTTCTGCATGACGATATACAGTGTATCAGGTGAAATTCCTTATTTGTAGAGAGGCTGAACTGTTGAAGTATAATATTATTCAGATATAATAATCATAAAGTACTCACCCGATAATGTGGGATAAATCTTGTAACCGATAAAACACTTGAAAGGCTCGTTAATGTAGAGGTTCCGACACCTGGATGGTATCTGACTGTGCCAATAAGGGATACCTAATTTCACGGCTTCGATCGGCGATGTCGACGCACCTCCCGCGTCATCAAAATCGTACGGCCGTTGGTCTACGAACCAACCGGAGTCTGTAATACCGTGGACCGACATGCCGCTGTACTGTCTCAACATCTTTTGAATGGGATCAAGATTCAACATAACTCCAACACCTCCAGCACTAAAAAAAAATATAATGATTTGTTATAATTTCGGATAAGAATATTTGTTTACTGTTTAGAATAATTTGTTAACGTCTTTACTACATAATCGTATTAATGATTTTGCAATATTTAAAAAATCAAATTATAAAATATTATAGTGATCATTTATAACCATAACTTTGAAAAAAAAATACTGTTTATTGTAATTTATTTGTCTATATATGAAATATATCAGTGGCGTGTTTAAGATGTTAAAAAAAAAAAGACAGGAGTGTACCAATTATTAATAAAAATAAAAAATCTAATTGTTTTCTATGTTTAAAAATTATTGAAATGTAAAAATTTATATAATAAATTAAACTAAAGGTGGGGAAATCAATCACTATATTATAATACATGATTATTTCCCATCATAAACACGCGACTGAAGCTCTGTATATTTAATATTATAATGTTTTTTTCGAGTCCAGACAAAATTTATGTAATCTCGAAATCATAACATTATATTTAGTATCGGTAGGTACTGCAATATTTTACATAAAAAAAAAAAATCTATAAATATAAGATATACGTGTAATAAAAAACATTTTTTAGAAAATAATTTACAGGAAAAATATTTGAAATTATATGTTTTCCTTGTGAAATACAACTTTAAAATAACACGCTGTTAAAGTTGTGCTGATTTATAGGCACCTAATATATAGATAATAATACAATACCTGCTTCCAGAGAGTATGAGAGCGTTGGCATTGGCCAAACCTATAGTTAATAGCTCTCTGATGACTTGCTTAATCACTATGGAGCCCATAAAAGTGAATTTTGACCCGTGTTGTGGTTCTGCTCTCCGACCTGACCATATATCACTAGTACAATATGGTACGAAACTGAAATATAAAAATAAATTATAGATATGGCGAAATTAGTTTACTATTGAAATATATTACAAATTACTTTCGCATTAATATCGAAAATGACTACAATCTAGTATCTATAATTTAAATATACACAATCACTTTCCAACATCTTCCCCCCTTTTGACATAATTTCGATGTTTTGTGTACAGCTGAAACTATTAAAGTATACCTAGACTTGTTTCAATAACTACATTTTTCTTTCTTTAAATGTATCCTGTATAGATTTTAAAATTATTTAAAGTTAATAAATACAAATATTTTAATCAAACTTATAGAGGAATTAAGTTAATTCTTATTTGTTAAACATTTAACCGTCTTTGATAAAGTACCCCTAAATACTAATATATTTATATTAATTTTTAATCAGATATTGAAAATAAATATGATACTTAAAAAGTTCAATGACTGACTACTTCCTAAAATATGTGGGGTATGTCAATATGAAGCTACGTGCCTACACGCACTAATAATAATATACTAATACCAATACATACCTAGAGGTTTAATTTTTATATAAACACGTAATATTATACAATAACATATAACTTGCTAAAGTAAGTACTCACACATGATTTGCCTGCCACCAATAAGGATTTTCAGCTGCATTATTGGATAATATTCCTCCGACTGAAAAGCAATTAAATTATGTTTTGCTTAATACAATTTTAATGAAATTCTTTATAATTGCAGAATATAATTTACCTGTTCGAGTTTCGGGCCATTCTTTTGATGACATGAGGTACTCGGCTCGCGACCACCGTTCGTCACAACTCTGTTTGTCATAACAACACCAACCCTCTAAACAATGAAAAAATATTCATATAATTATACCATAAAACATACAATAAAACACGATTATTAAGATTATTGTATTGAATGAATTTATTTATTAATTTATTTTATTATTCATCTGATTATTACCTTCAAGAAACACTATCCATGTTTTGCTATAGTTTGAGTGGCGCACGTAAAATCTATAGAAACACAAAAATATTCATTTGCAATTCTATAAATAGATATTAATTTCTGTCTTAACCTATTTACATGGTCTTAAAAAAATAGAAATACAGCTATTACTATATGTCTATATAACGACATAATATTTATTTTAAGTAAACTCATCAAGACTTCAAAGATAATATTATTGATTAAAATTTAAACATAATAATATAGTTTATACCTACTGGTAAATTAAAAGCATACTATATAAGATTGTTATTGATCAAAGAAAAAAAAAAAATTTATTTATAATCATATAATATTATCCATTTGCACTATTATAGTACAATCTTATGTACAATAGAATTCAGGATCGTCTATATTTCAAGTTGATGGAATTTTAATGATTCAATTGGTTATATACTTATATGATTAAAGATATTTATTATAACTTATAAGGATATTATTAAAATTTAAATATATATTTATAGTTATGAAACATATGTTACTGATCGAGTTGGAGAAAATTAAAATTGTTTTTATCATATTTAACATTTTGGTCTATAGTTAGTTAAATTGATTTTATACACAAATATCTATTTGGTGTGAAAAAAATAAGGTAACGCGCAATTACAGAACGGTTCAACGATGGTAATGCCGTAACGGTAAACAAATTTATTTAACCGGCTTACTGATTTTTACTTATCAGTGACTTGTAAAAAAGTCTAATATTTTATTTATATTTATAGATTGTAAGTATGTAAAAAACAAAATACAATTATAGCATATTTAACTAAAACAACAAATACCTACTATCAAGTCATTATTATTATTAAAGTTAAAATGTAAGTCAACCTTTTTAATTATGTACCATAACCATTATAATAATTTAAATACAAATTATTAATAATATACCATGAATTATTATTAAACATTAAGTTAAAAATAATGACGAGTAAAATATTTTATTATCTGTATTAGAATATTTAATTTATTGATAATAAATAGCTTTAGTTTTTAAAACCAATTAAATTTAAATTCAAAACCTCAAATAGTCAAATTACAGAAATATGTATTGTATACCTAGTTATTTTGTGGATTTGTGGATCAATAAACACAAATATATAATTATATCAACTTTAAGATCCTTATTAGTAATTTACCAAAATTATTAGAAAATTATTAGTTGTTACCTATATCGGCTATATCAATTATATCCGTGAGTTACGCATTTATGAAATTTATTATATATACTACAATTACAATTATTATCAAGTTTTTTTATCATTATTGTACTTAATGTCTTCGTATTTACCCTGCTGGGGATCCATCATTGCATGTCACGTCAGGCGATAGCATGTACTTTTTCAAAAACTTTTGCTCCGCGTTCCGAGTTTCTACATAATTACTGGTGTCCTATATTATACACACATAAAATACATAGGTCAGACGAAAAATTGCATTAATATATTGATTTGGTATTTTATATTGCTTTGGCTCAGAAATTCACCTGTACAATTCGCTCAGCAGATACTTGGTACGTCAACGACGAGTCATCTTGGGCGCCAATTGGTTCACAGGTTAGGAAAATGCCTGATACAAAGAGTAATACCTGAAATAAAAAAAACAAGTACAAACGTATAAATATATTTATTATTATAAATAATACTGCACAAGAGGAATTCGTACGGCAAAGATTCTACTTCAAACGAGACGGCGTGATTTATGGGGATTTCAAAAACGTAAAATATCATAAATATTATTCGTCTCCTGGTGGTGGTTGCGGGAAGGGGGGGGAGAGACGATGCGCGATGAAAATTGTATCAAAGGCTCAAGTATAATACAGAATATCATTATACACACCGTTTAAATTGTTATTCGCTCCGCGTTATTATAATGCCCATAGGTACGCGTTTAAATAAAACGACCAATAATAGTAAAGTTGTAGTGTGCGGCAATACGTGTTCGCGTGATTTGTTTATCGTAAATTATTTTTCTCATACTCGACCGACGACGAGCGGTTTCGCCGCACACTGCTGCTGTAGCACTGCGTCCGACGACGGCCAGAGGGGTAAACGATTCATGCGGAATGCAAAGAATATGGGTACCTCTTCTATGTATGTTTATGGGTATAAAAAAAAAAAAAAATAAAATAAAAACAGAACCGATGGACACAAACGGAACGGTCGCGTATCGGGAACGTTCGATTTATTTTTTGTCTTTCTTTTCGCGATGCTGCGTATACACTACCATTGTTGTACCGCGGTCATTGCGCGACAGGCGCCGGCAATACGACACAAATACCACCGCGGTATACCACGTGCCGACCCGTCACTGCATCGCGGTCGTGGTATATCGCCACGAGGACTGTCGCCGGTCGCCGCAGGTCACGTCGGGTACCTACCTACCTATACTCCCGACCGCCCGGCCGCAGCGTATAGGTAATATTATCTATATACCTACGTTTAAATCGCGAACAAAACGAACGCGACGTTATCATTACGGTATAGGAATTCGGTCAATGAAATCTGTTGCGAGGCTAGCAAAAATATATAAGAACACAAATCCGGAATCGTGTACGAGACGAGAATATTTTCAACAATCCTCTGCGCGCGGCGGCCGGACGCGTTGCAACAAGTGCGATGAATCCTATATAAGTACTTAAAGTGTGATTTATTACAATATTATCATGTCGTACGCGTGCTGTGTTGTGTTACACCAACGTGTTTGCGGTGTCGGTGTAACTATATAACAATATTATTATTATTATTATTATTATTATTATATACATATCGTGTAGGAGTGGCGGTGACCCCGCGCGGGCGGCAAAACATCAGACGAAAACGCCGCGACCTCCGCGGGTCCGTGACGTGCCGCCGCCGTCGTTAATTACACGCCTAAACGAATCGTCGCCGTAGTCGTTGTGCGCGCTCGTTCTCGGCGCGGGTTCTGCGATTTATACGCGAGCGCTCGACATAATTCTCTGCAGTGGCGCCCCGGCCAACTCTCTTTAAGACACCGCACGTTATTATTATCACATAATATAATATTATGTTACTGCGGCATTCAGCTGGACGCAGGTGCGCGACGTGATGAATGCCCCGAAATGGATCACCGACACGGCGTATCCCGCGGGGCCCAAAGAAAAGGGGCAAAGGGGTCTTTTTGTTCTTTGCACTCCGCTGTTTCCGTTCGCACGCCGTCGGTTTGGTAAACAGCGATATTCTTAACGTAAGTATACTAAGTTGTCCAACGAGCCTTCAGTCATTATGAAAACGTCGAATAACGCGTTGTGAATGCAAATAGTACGTATATTATATCAGGTATAATATTAAATACCGGTAAGAATTTCAACGCGTACGCATGCACTTTGTAAATAACTACGCATAAATCGTTTATTCATTGTATACAATATATAAATATATATAATAATTGAGTATCCCTACTAACCTTCAGACGTATAGGCGGCCTTCACCCTCGCAATCCAAAATCAAGTTTAGATTCGCCACGAGGTTTACTTTATACCTATATTATGATCGATGTAATCTCGATGGTGAGATTAAGGGTACGTTAGGGGGGAGATCGAGAGAGTCACTATAAATGTACAATAATAACCTACCTAATTTAATCGATTTCGACGAAATCTTCAGTACAAATCGATTCCGAAAGTAAAACGTGGGCATGATAACGGAATTCGTAAATCGATCGGTCGACACTGGTTGCCTCAGAGTATCCCCCAGAAACGCTTATAAAGATGGATGGGGGGGGGGATCACATTTTTCTCAGACATTAGTACGACTTTGTATGGTCGTTACTCTGGGTGACCTATTCCCTCTCAATTCAAAAGCAAAAACTGCTCGCGCATGTACTCGTCTTGTTTTGTAGCAAACGATTTTCGTGTTTTTTTCCCCATCCGCTTTGGAATTTGTCGTCCTCGTTTCCCGTTACCGACGGTCACGCGAGTGCACGCGCGTAATTTGTCCGCCGGCGGCAGTGGCGGCGGTATGAGTGAAAACCGGCTCGCACAACATAATAATATAATAAACGCGCGCGCAATGTCACCGGATAGATCTCTGTCGGTGATCATTAACGTCGTATAATATTATATATACGTATCTATCACCGTCGTGATATCAACCATGCACGCGTGCGATCACCCGATTAAAAGACAAAAATAAAATTAAAAAAAAAAATAAAAACAAAAACGGTCATTTATTGTTATTTTTTTGTCCATCTAATGCCGCCGTTTCATTTATAAAAAAAAACACACACACACGTTACGATATATGTATTGCACTTTGCACGCGACTATACAGCGGCGTGGTGAACTTTATCAGTTATTCGAACAACTCTCAGGACGCTCAGTCGTCATACAATATAACCAAAGCCCGCAGCTGACACTGTCTAGTGCCTATCAAACATTCATAACTATACGTACCCTGACAGCATTTAAATTCCACAAAATCTTTCATATTAGATCATTCTTTGCCCTCATTCTTGTATTTGAAAAATCAAAATACATACCCACATAATATAGTAAAACAATGATAATACAAATCTAGGATGCCTCCTTCCACTATGTCTTTGGCATGCCACAATGAAATTTGTGATAGTATGCAGTTGTTTATAATGTAAATTATAATATATATATATACGTATGTATTAGACGCGAGTGTATAATTTATTATATATTGTAGCTACACGCGTGCGTTGTTGTTGTTGTTGTTGTTGTTGTTGTATAGTCATCCTTAAGGTATTATAGAGCCACGAACTCTAGACCGAAATATAATAACTTATTATTATTATCATCGTCATCGTCATCATTATTATCATCACCACCATCATCAACCGCATGTGCAACAGCGTTGTAATTATAATTTTTATGAAGATTTTCAACACGAAAATAGTTATTCCCAAGGCTGTATAATACCTGCACATTATTTCTGTATAGACAAGTAGTTTTTGTTAGAAGATTTTTTTTTTTTTAAATTAGGTCACTTGAGAATTCAAGTAGGTACTCGCGTATGTGTTGTAAGAGTATATGCAAACCGTCAACATTAAAAATAACAAATATTTGCGTTTTCGATATTTAAACAAATAAAATGTATTGCGTTTCAGACGGTTTTTTCGAGTTTTCATTTCAAAAATTAACTTTTACGGTTATTGAGTTTTGTTTGCACGCGTTCATAATATTATAAATATTTTCACAGTATTATACGTATTAACGTATTATTATTATATATTTTATGTTTTTGGTAAAAAAATTCTTTGAAAAACGGCTCTAACGTTAACCATAATAATATGTTTCCTGTACAAAACATAATATATAATAGGTACTCGATGAGTACCTACATATTAAATAATATAAAATATTATATTCTTTGAAACTCGACACTAAATATTTTTCTTTTTGAAATTCCATTATATCGTGTAGTTCTATTAACTTTTAATGTTAACCCGTTTCGAACCTTTTTGTATTTTTTTTTATTTTTTTATTGGGGTTGTTGTTTCATACTGACCACTACAATTCCTAGAAGTGACATGAATTTTTTTCTTGTAATCCACAAGCGGCGAAGTATATACATCGTAAACACCGCTATGATTTATCGTAGTGTTGTGAGTGTTGTGAACAGCTGTTGACTGTCGAGCGTACGCATATTACTGTGTTATAATAATAGGTATCGCAAAAACGTTAAACGAAAAAAAAAAGTAGGTAGGTATGGCCCGTTTCGAAATCCGAAAAACAAAAATGTACAAAAACGCATGGTTCTTAGGTCTCGAGTCACTTTAATCGCGGGTACTGCGTGAACTCGACGGCGGCAGCCCTGCACGTGGAACTCGAAATCGTCGTCGTATTACACTGTAGGTGTATACTATATATGTATAGCTGTAATAGTACAATATATACGTAGCGTATATTATAGTAGCGCAGCTATACACACGGCCGCACACCGGCGGATACTTCAAAGGGTGTAATTTACAACCGATTCTGAACGAATTAGGTAGGAGCGAGAATACCACCGCATGACTGCGACGGCGGCGGCGGCGACGATGACGAGAAGGTGGTGGTCGCGGTGGAATGAGCGGGTGGTAGAAGAAAACGAAGAGGAGAAAAAAACCATTCGATTTTTAAGCGCTCCCGGTACATTGTGTCGTGTTAAATTCAGTAGCAGACTCGGGAGATCGTAATTTAGCGGCTAATTGGGTACCAAACAGGACCGGCCGAGGTAACGCCCACCGCCGTGTACTACGCTGCCGTCGTGCATATTATGCGTCTATACTATATACAGGTATAATATAATACATAATATACACTATACCACAACACACGTTTGCGGCGACGGCCTATCCAAGTTACTACTATACGTACACGTAAATAATAATAATAATAATAATAATCGAAACGTGTATAACGTTCGTTTTGCCGCCAAAGTCATTAAGCGCATTCATGGATATAACGTAGGTATAGAATAACAGGCTTGTTTTGGACGCGAGCTATTGCAGCTGTGGAAAAGAAAGAGCAAGAGACAGAGATAGAGACAGAGACAGAGGAGAAAAAGAGAGAGAGAGAGAGAGGAGAGAATGACGAAAAAATATTATACCGTGCGTTGCGTACGAAAAAAAAACAATTTCGATGCGACTTGTTTGACACAGAACCGTCAACATTTTATAAAATAATAATGACGATAACAACGACTTCCTGTAAACTCGACAAATTACACGTGATTCCATTTACACATTGAATAAGCGTGCTCATTGAGTAAGCAGTACCGTTTAGGATTTTGCTGTCCCGAGTGGACATGTTTTCAAGTCTCCTTCGTCCGGTTCTCATTTGGTAGATATATTGTATATTAAAACAGTCATATTTGTTTATTGCATTATGCAACATTAAGTAAGAATATTATCAAATTGATACTATTTATAGACGATTATAGAAGTACCTACCTATTTCATAACACTTTTACAATTTTATTAGCATTAAATATTGATACATTTAATTTTCAGAAAATTATTTTTATAACTCTTTTTTTGTGTCTTGGGTTGGCTTAGAACTGCAAAAATTATTTTAACTGTGGTTTACTTTTATTTGTTTTATATTTACACACACTTTTTAATTTTATTATTAAAATATATGTAATAATAAGTAATATAATAATTTGATAAAGTGTCGCCCGCTAAAATTTAATTACCTCCTTCTTGCTTCCCTCTTATATACGCAAGGTGCACATATATGTGATAATTGCAATGAACAAATGCACTCTCATTATTATTATATTATTATATTTAAATATAATAATAATGCGTTAAAAGCTTGTGGTCGTATTTTATAAAAGTGAAAACTATTCTTTTAAATTAGGCCTCTTTCTCTATAACTATGAATTCGTTAAAGAAATATTCAATTCTCTTTTGGTATACCGGATGGCGGATTGTATAATACACGACCCAATTATTGTTAATAAATAATAACCGTAATAAATCTTCACGAATTAATACAAAAGAATTATATTATAATATACTAGGTACATACGCGTGCACGTGCACACTATTGTAAAATCAAACGCATTATTATAATACCAGTTTGAGATTTTTTTTTTTAAATTTTGGTTTCAACGTAAACAAGAATATTACAAAATTCCTAGCGTGCCTACAAATGTCCGTCAAAGAAACACGCGTGGCCAAGCGTCCTGCAAAAAAATGTGGTTCAATAAATTTTATGGATCCACTGTATAATACACTGGACCGCAACGTTGTATTGTACTAGAGATTATGATTTTAGCCTTTTTTCTCCTGTCCATCATCAAAAACGTCCTTTGACGTGTGTCTCATAATATGTCCGCCAAAAGGTCGTAAAACGCAGAGAAAAAATGACCATGTACATTGTACAAAGTAGTGTGTCGGCGTGTCACAGTCGAAAGCCATTTTACCGTTTTATATTAACAATAAATATAAATAATATAATAATAAAACATAATAATACTTTGTTATGTACGTGGAAGAGTGTTTTTCGTTGTCCTAACAAGTAGTTAGTTTTCAAATTTTCAATGTTTTCGGGTAAAAGTTATGAAATTTTCTAGATTTACCAAGATTTGCCGACAATGGAACGTAAAGAAGGTAGGTAATAATATTGTGATAAATGGTAATTATCCGACAAAAGTATAGTGATTCGTAAACAAAAATACCAATCTTTCACATTTTGTGTTTGTTCTATTTATATTTTATACGTACAATTT